TACAAGAGCATAGTCAGTTACTTGTATCAGAGATTACATGGATGGTGAAACCTCCAATATTTGTTCTCTGGTACTTTGCAGAAATTTCTATCAATAGTGATGTACTCCTACTTTCCTCACCACATGGATGCCAGAGCTCATGTTGTTCTCTCAGCTTCATATACTCTCTCCAACCCCAGTCTTCAACAACTAATACAAATTTCTCAGTATTTTAATTTAAATGTCATTTCCAAGGGAGATCCTTAACTGGCTAACACTGTTCCTTTGCTCCTGTCTGATACTGAATTAGATTGAATTAATGAAAAGTCCTTAAAATAATTTCCCATGGGACTTCTTGAGAGTAGGCTTAAGTCCATCTCACTCACTACTGATCTGAGCTGTACCAGCTTAACATGTGATAATGATAAAGGATACTAAGAAAGGCCTAGTTTGCCATATGTTTGAAATAATATTATCTGTTCAATTAATGTAGTCTCATTTCCTATCTCTTGACATTTTCTCTTAAAAATTATTTTAAATCTGGTATCTATAAATTAAGAAAACACACTAACAAACAAAAACAACTTTAAACATAAAAAGGTTTTAATATGAATGGGAGTACATGAATTCTATTACAAATATGTTGTTTGAGTGAGTCATTGTGGGTCTCCCAGTGCAGAATGAAGTGGTAGTAGGATCATGCACTGTGGAGAGAACAAAGGTAGGGGTCAATACGTCCTGCCCTCATCAACATTTAAACATGTTAGTCCTGAATCAAGAGAAGTATTTTTATTTCTCTCTATTTTTTTAAGTTTAATGCAAAATTAATTAGGAAAAGGTTATTTATTCATTTAACACTGTGACTATTTAGAAGTGAAACAGGAGTTCAATGTATAACACTGTTAACTTTTAATGAGTTATCAGTACCTGAAGGAATAGATTTTGTAATTAAAAGGCCCAGGAACTACAGAGTACTCACATTTGATGAGCTTCTTGTTAATAGTATTGAACTAAAAATAAAAATCATAATTGCATTTACAGTCATCACAAAATGGCTCCCAAAATCTTAAAAAAATTTTTTTAAAGACCGAAGAATCAAAACCCTAGAGAGTTGAAGACACACTTATTCTTTTCCTCTTCTTTTAAAGATAACTTTCTGTCAAAGGGGAATTAGATCGCAATGAATATTAATGAATATATCTTTTTTATAGTTAAGATAATTTTCACGTGTTTTTAGTATTTTCTGTTGATTTATATCCTTAACTACAATACCTATAATTCACGGGAATAAGTTACAATTGCATCTAATTAGGGGTAAATTAAACAAAAAATGACCCAATTGCAATTACTGAAGAGGATACAATGCTACTGAAATTTGTACTTCATTTACCAGCTCAAAGGACAACTAAAAATTGAATTTTGGGGTTGAAATAATAAATAGAACATTCTATGAGACTGGTACTATAACGTCATCTTCAGTGCAGTGGACAGAGGAAGCTGTTTTTCCTTTGCAAAATGCTGCCACTAAAAGCCAAAGCACTGACAATTAGAGAGGTTATTATATTTCTCATCTAACAAACATGACACCTAAAATATAAATAGCATTTTGTGGTTGTTGATTTGCAATCACAGTGCATAGAAGATATTGTTTACTAATAAACTGAAGTAGATTAATTTTTGAATGTTCAGAATAAATTTTTCTTGATAATTTTGACTTGAATTTTATCAATGCACACTCAGATTTGTCCTCTAAGATCATCTAGTGTAAGTCTTTATTCAAACAATTGTTTTTTTAATAACTTTAATTTTCTTTATCTGGATCATTCTTACCTTGGACACCGAGGATAAAGAAATCCAGGTCCTATAGCTGGTTCTTTCTAGTTGCAGGCTGCAATGGAACCTTATGAAAATTACAGTTATGCTTCAGTGGATTGTCTTGTATAGCCTCATCCTTAGATTCTTGTAACTTCACTGGAACTTCCAAATAAAACAAAACAGTACAATGAAAGCATTATTCTGTGTGTCAGGAGGTCATGGACAAGGGTAACAATGATATATTATGTCACATTGGGTAAATCAGGCTCCCCCTCAAGCCTTTTTTGAAGTGATAGAGACCAAATCATCTTCCTTTGATGTTCCTTAAACATGGAACATGTCTATTCACCAAAACTCTGATAAAGAGTATGCTGGCAAAGCTACACAGAGAAACCCTGTCTCGAAAAACCAAAAAAAAAAAAAAAAGAGTAAAGAGTATGCTGGTCCAAAGATCATTTAGTGTAGTCTAACCCACATATAGTAAGATTCATATGAAAGACTAAGCTTCTTAGACATACTTCTATTCAAACGACAATCTGAACCATGTATGCATTTGGGATTAAAAAGTCAAGCGTGTGATTACACAGTTGACTTTGTGGCATGGTGTAGGCATCTGGAATCAGTAAACAGAGAGTGGAAATGCTGCCTTTAGAATACACACAATGAAGCCTATGGAAAAAAAAATTGACAAGTTCAAAGGGGAATTTCTGGACCTAGATATAATTTTAATTAAATGTTTCCTGTTGAGTCTCTTAAAGCCTTCTTTTCTTAGGTAAACACTGGTTGACTTCTTAATCCTGATGGTTTTATCCAGTTTCCAATATACATTTCTGTGTATCTGTTTAGTTACATACTGAAAACAAGGCTTAGTGAATTTTCATAGGGAGAATTGACTCAGTAGCATTTCAGCAGCTGTACCAAATCTGAGAAAAATGAATATTTTCTGAAGTACTGAGTGTAAGGGGAAAATAATAGACATGCTTGTGGCAACCCATGCGCAGCCTTATCAACCGGTCAGCAATAATGCACTTCTGTAGTTAGAGTAGAGGGTTCCAGAGAGAACAGCGATTATTTGGATTTTGGTTACAACCTAAAACAACATTGCAAACAAATATGAAACACAAGAAACATCTTGCAAAAGTTGACATTTCTGCTGATAACTCTGTCTTCTTATAATTATTTTTATGTCAGCAAGACTTACTATACTAAATTTTCTATATTTCTAGAATTTACAAGAGGAAACTGGTAATGCAAAATGTGAGGATTCTCCCTATAAATAAGTGTGAGTTTCTAGAGTGGAGAGTAGTTTCCACTTTGAAGAATAGTATTAAATAAAACAACAAGCAGTTCCTGTGGGCTGGAGGAAAACTGATGAACAACAACAAAAAAAGGTTCATATGAAAAATGCACAAAACCAAAATGCTCTTGAGTGATGGGGGAATGCCTTTTTGTGTGCTGTGAAAATATGTTGCTCTTAATGGTTGATAAATAAAAAGTTGACTGGCCAGTAGTCAGACAGGAAGTATAGGCAGGATAACCAGACAAGGAGAATTCTGGGAAGAGGAAGGCTGAATCAGGAGTCACCATCCAGACACATAGGAAACAAGATTTGAAGGAAGAACTGAAAAAAAGGTACCAAGCCATGTGGCTAAACATAAATAAGAATCATGGGTAATTTAAGTGTAAGAGCTAATCAGTAATAAGCCTGAACAAATGGCCAAACAGTTTTAATTAATATAAGCTTCTGAGTGATTATTTTAAAAGTGGCTGCAGGGTCCATGGGGCTGGGCAGGACTGGAGAAAACTTCAGCTACATTTTAGTATCACAATCTTATGCTGGTAAATACATGCTTGGCCCTGGAATCCTATAGTTATGTGTATATTGCCACTGGAAAAAAATCTCCCTAAGCTAATCTGTGCCATAGATAGTGCTGGCTGTTCATAACTGCAGTAGAGAATAATTTCCATCAGGGAAGACTTGGCAAAGGTGGTATATCCTGCTATGGAGCAAAGGGATCCATAGCAGGTACATTATTTCCTGAGGTTTCATGCAGGAAATCGCTTCTGAAATAGACATTTGATATTTTCTACTGAAGTAAAATTTCTGAAAACAAAACAGAAGACCAAGCAACATTTTACTACAACATTGGAATCTAATGCTTGTAATGATCTCTTTTATTCCCTAAAATTATCTTAGGTATAATATGTATGTTTGTCTACTTCTTTAAACAGAAATATCACTTGTCATTATTTTAACATAATGACAAGTCAGAAGGTTCCAACATCAATCCATAACATCAGTCATCAATAAAAAAATACATCATCCAAGGGATATGTCTTATTTGACCAGTTTATCTGAAAATAATAATTATGATGGCTGTATGGGCACTGCTTGGATTTCATATTAACTTAAAAGAAATAAATCAGAGTTAAAGGAAGGAAATGTGTTTGATATTTCTTATAATTTTACCATGATGTCTTTTCAGCATTTAGGTTTTGGGATCTGATAAGTATTTATTTCTGTGAATATTCCTTTAACCTCTTTATCCTACTTAATCTCTAGTCACCAATTTCAACTAAATGATCCTTCTTTTATAATAGATTTGTATATTCTAGTAATTTTTAATCGCAAATCTCACCCTGGCATTCCATAATTTGTATGTAGATGGTTCTATATAAATAGTATCTACATGCTTCTCTGAGCATGTTTATACAAGGTTGTAGCAGGCTTGATTTACACCAAGGCTGTTGTTCTGTGAATAGCACATGGTATTCATTTAGTAAGCACAAAAATGATAAGCCAAATGAGAAATTCAACAAATGAGGAAAATTAAAAAATCAAATCACTTGAAAGTTAGGTGACTGAAATCCAAGGGGATAATCTCAGTCCAATTACTACTATATACTGTGGTTATGTTCCAATTTAAAAGGAAAACAGTTATAAATGGGAATAAAATAACTGTCATTTGTAAACTTTAAATGAGGCAGGAACATTTCAATATTTAATGACTAGATTTCCATATTTGTGTATCACTCAGTATGTCTATTACTTTCTGTGTGCATGTGTGTATGTACAGATATAACTTCCATACTTACGTAAACTAATAGGATAGCCATACCAAGCAAATAGCAAGTTATTTGAATTTCTCTCTGTACTTGAGCTTTGCTAATAGTAGACTAATAAAAACACTGAATGGCTACACATATGACCTATAAGAAAAGACTTTTATTCATGAAAACAGCATTAAAGTTACTCCATACCAACTCCAGAATTTTGCCACAATGATTTAGTTTACACAAAACAATGATGGAAATATACATTGCAGTTGCTTAGTAGGGAAAACAATGCTTAATGTGATTCTTAAACATTTTCATAATTTTTATCCATTGCACAACATGGCTTTCTTAGATGTTTATCAACAGCATCTGACATGATCTACTATTTGTGAGTTGCCAACTGAGAGAAATATATTGTTCAGGTACTCTAAAAGTCTTGTTTCTCTATAGCCAATTTAAAAGTAAAGGTAGGTATTTATTCACTACATACTCGCATTAGCTCTCTAAGGACTTCATTAATGAATTTTTCAAGTAATTTGTCTTTTCTATTTTAAAATTAGAATGGCTAGAATTTGTGTTTATGTACAGGCAATGTCTACAAAAGTAAACTATAGTGAAAGATTGACTTGTTATCTCTTGGTTCTGGGTTCTATTGTCAGCTTACTTGTAATTACCAAGCAATGTGGAATTCAAATCTTTTGTATTCCCAGTCTCATATTTTCTGGACCCAAAGTATTTAATTGCCTCAGAGCTTCAACCCATTTCCCCTGTGTAGATATAAGAACAACAAACTAAAAAAGTTTTTAAAAATTATAGAAAATCATAGTATTTAATAGAAGAGATAGTAGAACCACTTTATTTTTTCCTTTTCCAATGTTATCCTCTAAATCACTGTAAACTAAATAGAATAAAAAAATACAATAAAATTTACACTATAGGAAGTTTTTATTAAAAAAAGTCATTTAAGTTCATTTGACCTCCCATTTAGTTGTAATTTAACAAAACACAGATCCCCTAGAAATCTGTAATTGAGAGATAACAATTGTCACTTAAACTTATAACTATTCCTATTAAGGGACACCGCCAATAGTTTTGTTCAGTTAATCTGACCAGTAACTAATTGAATGAACACTGAACACGAGTATGACCCTTGATTTGATGCCACTTGTCTACACAATGGAATGGCTGAGAACAACTACCTTGTGCTTGCTATCTATATTGTGCCAAATTTCAGCACAGTTTATGTATAGTTGTAAAGTCACATAAATCTTAATTTATACTTCTGTGCACTCTTCTTCAATTAGTTTAGGGACACATGATTTAAAACCTCCTTATGGTAAATGAAGCCTTTTGATATTTCTTTTTCTGCTCCGAATTTAACTATAATACAATTGGTTCATTTTTTTTTTCAACCACAGAAAATGCATCAAGTGATTGACTGATACTTTTGGTTACTTTAAAAGAAACTCAGTTAAAAATAGCCATTTTACCACATTAAGGGTGTAAGAAACTTGAAATTAGTCAAGCTTTCTGTGGAATGTAGATATACTGAAGTTTCTGTAGAAGTATTTGAGTTGATAGTTCCCAACTGAAAACTAATATTAGCCTATTTGAATTTGTTAGATTCTAAATGGTGAGAATGCAAAATGATGAAAGTATATTGATTTGTACAACTGTTCTCTGAGGGATTGCCAGTACAAAGGAATACAGATTGCAACTATGTTTGTAAAGAAAACATCTTCCAACAGAGACTTAGCAATTGAGTGTAAACAGTATTTTTAAAGCTATATGTATATATATATATATATATATATATATATATATATATATATATATATATCCCTCAAATTTGAGTGATATAACCAGTTTGGTTACGGTTTTATTTATTTTTTCTGAAAAACAATGAAAAGATAAATATACTTAACAGTGGCTTCGGAAATAACATTGTACCAAATAATTTTATTAATGGTTCCAGAAAAATGGCATTTAATAAATTCTAATATCTTGGTGTAATTCAAAGCAAACAGTGTTCATTAGAATTGTTCTTTGTTGTGATTTACATTAGATTTTATAGCATTACTTTTTTATTAATTAATCTAAAATAAAAATAATCAAAGCAGGCTAAAAACAATATAATACATATTTTCTACTTTATTTCAAAATAGTACCTATAAATACATTCTTAATATATTTTCTCCCTAACTCTTTGGATGCAAGGATGACAAAAAATTGAAAGAGAAAAAAAAGAAAGATGTAAGAAAATCTCGCTGTGCTCATTTCATATACTATCCTTGGAAGTCATGCAAATGATATTGTAGATTAAAGTTATCGCCATACATTTCTAGATTGACTTTGATATTTCTGAAATATCTGTGGCATTACTCATGAGGCCATGCCCTTTAATATTTATGCATCCTTATGGCGTACAAAACTAAATGTTTATGAAAAATCACAAATAATAGTGGTTTTTAATAACTTCATAATTAATATATTTGTTAATACTGTTATTCAGAATGGAAAACTAAGTATAGGATATAAATTGCCTTATATGTTTGAATCATGGTACTTTAATAGCTGCTTTCTCATAAAATTACACAAAGATTTACTTTAAAAGAATTGAATCATTTTTATTGATTTCATAAAAAAATAATTTAAAACTTGATTTATATTACACGGACACAATATACTATCTTACCCCTTCATTGATTTCATAAGATCTAGTTTTCTCTGCAACTGTTCTAACACAGTCCATACACAAGAATACAATGCCAAGAAGACCATGATGTGTCATAGCACATTAGAGATGACCAATTCTTGGCTTTTCAAAATTTGAATCAAAGTCTACTAAAAAAATGTTTTACCATGTACATATCATTCTTCAAGGGGTTAAACTAACATCAAGATTATAGCTGACGCCAACAAAATGCAGATACAGTATTTAAACTGCTCTTGTACTCAACTCAGAATTTATACCTAACTACAGTATCATAAAAGATCCAAGAAGAACTAATGAGAGACTGGTGCAAAATAGCATACACTGTATAATGTAGGCACAATGACTTTAGTTAAGGAAAGTATATTAGCCTTAACCAAGAATTTGTTACTTCCATTCACAATTAGAACCTCCATAGAAGCACATACAGTTAAATTATGTTTTTTTTTTCTTAAAAATTTTTGAGCGGTTATAGCTTCCAGCAGTAGAGTGTGAGATAGCCAATATACTACAGCAAGCTTTGAGATGGTAGCAGGTACTCTTGCCGCTGACAATTCTGCAGAAACCTTGAAACATCTTCCAACCATCACCACACTGAATAAAAGGACATCATCCCAATGACCTATTAGCCCCAGCTTATGCATGGAGCTTTCTAGTTCCTCCTATAAGTGTTCATTTAATATTTCTGAATCCACACTTTGACAGGATAAACAAAAACACTTTGTTGGAAGCCTTTGCATCCTTATCCTGTCAGTATGCATTAGGAGCCCTTAAATCCATGGATGCACGCATGCATGGTAATGGCATATTAAATGTCCTTATGAAACTGCAGATGAAAATTAGCATTTGAACACACTTCTTTTCTTTCAATATCAGACAGCAATTATTTGTTTGGATGTGTTTATATTCATATAAAGTTTTCACAGACATTGTCATGAAACTGAAAATTACACATTAAAGTTTTAAGAGCACCAGCACATACATAGGGAGATTTTATTTGCTATCTAAAAAAACTCCTAATTATCTATATATGAATATATAACCAAACACACATGTGTGCGCACACGCATGCACACACACACACACACACACACACACACACACACAGTCCTGTAATAATGTCAAATTTTATTTAAAAATTTGAAACAAACACATAAAATCTTGAAATTAGCATTTAATAAAGGGATTGCTGTTACAATATCCTTTTGGAAGCTGCATCAAAATATCTGCCACTTGAAATTCATGAAGAATGTTTGTTTGCTTTCTTGGTTATCTTACTGAATAATACAATAATTCATCACACCACAATACACACACACACACACACACACACACACACACACACACAGCTGGCCAAGAAGGCAATGAGTTTCTGAATATTGATTTACTAATCAGAGATCCTAAACATCTTCAGATATCAACCCATTAGCAAATACTTCATTCATTTGACCAATTTTGATCTAGAACTTAAGAGCACACGCAAACACAGGGGCATTTCCATTGTAGTTGTAGATCATGAATTCGTCTGAGACCAGTGCAAGCATTTTACACTATGGCTTTGATAGCCAAGATTACCATGATGTTTATAGTTCTACTAGATTATCTGATAGTAGTCAGAATGATGAAAGAACAGGATACTGATGCATACAAGATACTATTTATCTTAGTCATTATTTTGTTGAATATTGTAATTAAAACTATTTGAATTAAGCTCATAGAATCCTGAAAAGCAAGACAATTGATGGCAAATAACAACTGCCCCAGACACAATACTATAAAACTAAGGAGCCTATTTTAAAATGCACAGTTGGTAACAAATCTGAAGATAATACACTAAATTCACAAGAATAGCACGGATTTTTTTTTTAATTTTTGGGATTTTTGTATTTTTTTCTGTTTTTAAATTATACTTGATCACAGAGTCCCAAATATTTCTGTACACATTAGCTTCAGTTTCACTTTAGTATTTTTTTTCTTATCTCAATTTATACTTACTGATAAATTTGCTGTGATCAGGAAAATAAGTCAGGCATTTTAAATACATATTAAGGAGTACATGTTTTCCTATTTAGTATACAAAGTACTTCATAAATATGAATTATGTTACAAAAATAGCTTTGGGTGCGCTCACACGGTAAGCACTTTGCTAATTTGGGACAACCGTTAAGGATTGTGGGTATTTGACATAACTGAGAACAAACTCTAGTTTAATTTGAGCCATGTTTAATTCTGATAAACATCATATTTTTCTCTAAATCACCACAAATGCTATGTAACTCACATTGATTTTTTTCTCCTTTTGGTTTTTATGTATAGACAGGTAACACTTAAAGTGTTCAAATTTATTTTATAGTTATGTAATGCATGGTATATTTTAAACAAGTATTTGCACGATTTAACATTGTAAATCCAGCAGTTTCAAGATGCAGGCCATAAATTTTACCAATTTACAAATACTATCAAATGTTCTCTCTTTGCATGCTTATTTGTTTTTTACACTTTTAAGGTAATCTTTACAAAGAGTTGTTACAATGCCACAAATCAAAAGGGTTATTCCAGTTTCACCAACTTAATCTACGTGCAAGATGAAGGACCCAGCTGAGGTACAAACACTGGTACCAGTTTTCTTGAGTTTGCTTTACAAAGCACAAAGAGACGGAGGTTTTGTATCAGAGTACAAAACTGATTTGCCTCTTGAGGTTAAATTCAGTGTATTATGTTTATAAAGCATCCCTTTGGCAATAGAGTTTGCAGTATCCCCACAGGTCTCCACAGTATAGGTTTTATGTAGTAAAATCTATTAAGGAAATTCTCTTCTACTTGACACATCTTTACAGCTATAGTTAATGAAATACCCTTGGAAACACCTGCCTCTATGCCTAATGATAATATAGTATTTGGAAGTTAGAAGTCAACAAAAGGCACTTTCATCATTAAATAATGACCTCTTATGAAGTTGGATTACATGACCTATATCTTGTTCAAAGCGGTTTGCTCTTCAAGGACCTGTAGGTAGTCAGGAGAACTCTGAAGTTTTGCCTTCAGTTCAAAATACTCACTCTTCCTTTGTTCCACAACAATTTTACTGTGGTTACCACCTATCAGTGACTTCTTGCTTTTTTTATCTTGTTGTTTTTCTGGATAGCGAATCTCAAAGCCACTGACACCAATACTGTTATACTCCTTTTTGCTTTCAAGAAAATTCTGAATAAACACGTTGGAATCTCTGCTAGGGAATAGTTCATCCAGTTCATCAATTGTGCTCAATCTCTTCCTGGTATCTACATGCAGTAAATCTTTGTCTTTGTCAGCAGCATTTCTCATCATGATCTTCTGTCCCGGAGGATCTGAAAACATGAACCCAGTTTCAGATTCTTTCAGGCCACAGGTGTGACTCTTGCTCATCTGTTCTATGGTTTGTGGAATGAATGCTTCTGTGCTCAGTCCATCTTTTTTATTAGTTTTGTGGTCATGCTTCCTTAGTTGCAGCTGCATGGAGCCACACTCAGGGTTCCCCAAACCTTCGTGCTTCACTGTGGGTTTCTTGTTGCGTCTCAGCACAAAAACAAGAAGGCAAAATGCAACAAAGACAGTTAAAATGAGGACCACCAAGATACTTAAGATTAAAATAGACAGAGGCACTGGGCCCCCAGGAGGGCTTCGAATGGGACCCAATGGAGTGGTGAACGCAATTGCAGGTGCAGGGCTAGTGAACGGTGCAGATGGCTTGTTTAGGAGTTTAGGACATAAGATTTCATTCTTGAGGGACTTCAATTCAATGTTGGCAAACTGAACAGGAGTCTCACATTTCAGTTCTTTCACAACAATCCCATCATTTAACTTCTCCAGCCACAGCTTTAAGGCTACCAAGTCACAAGTGCAGTCCCAAGGGTTGCCCTCCAAATCAATTTGTGTAAGAGACTGCAACTGATCGAGGACTCCACTGACAGGTAGGTACATGAATTTGTTGTTCCTCAGGTTCAATCTAGCAAGGGGTGCTCCAGAAAAAATGTAAACTGGAAGGCTCTTTAAGAGATTATTGTTCAAGTACAGAAGCTGCAAATTGGGCATGGAGTCAAAGGTGCCTGCTAAGATTTCCTTAATCAAGTTGTATTCCAAATACAGATACTGTAGGTTATGAAGGCCTGAAAATATTTCAGGGTCCAGCCTTTCGATCTGATTTCCATTGAGATAAAGCCTGCGTAGATTGGTCAGATTGTGGAACACTTCTCCTTTGATCACCGTAATCTGATTGCTGCCTAAATGGAGCAAATCCAGTCCTTCAAACTCAGTGAAGTCTGAAATATCCACATCTTTGATGTTATTGCCATTGATATGCAACTTCTTGGCATTTAAAGGTTTTGGTATCAGTTCAGACATGGATTGTATATTTTTCTCTTGGCAATTTACGCTCAGCCCCAAATCAGAAGGATGTGTTTTGCAAAAGCAAGGTGCCGGGCAAGGTGTAAGAGGAGGCACTCTCGTTTGGTATGACACAATTTGACTGAGATTTCTGTTGGAGAGGGCTTTGCCTGCCACTATTCCAGAGATTTTGGAAGGATTTGTTGTTTTGGGTGGTTTGGTCACTAATCTGTGCAAGGTTGTTTGAGTAGTGTGACCATTGGGAGTGGTGTAGCCATTTTCCAGTTGAGATGGAGGCAGAATGCGAACGTCAAAATCACTCCCTGTGCCCATGGGGCATAATTCTTGCTTGTTGGTTTCCTTTAAAAGCCTTCCATATAAGTCACTGGGAGTTTCACAGATAGCTTCTCCTATATAAATGTTATATGGCATATTCTCCAACCAAGCCTTTAGAGGCAACAAATCACAGCTACAGTTCCAAGGGTTATCTTCCAGCTGCAATTCAACAACCCGGCCAATGTGTTCCAGAACTCCAATATAGGGGAGCTTCTGGATTCTGTTTCCTCGTATATCCAGATGGGTTAAAGATGCGAATCGAAAAATATTATCAGGAAGGAATGAAATCAGATTGTCATTAAGAATGAGAACTTTCAGTTTGTGGAGCTTATTGAAGGCTCCTCGTTCAATATACTTGATTAAATTGTAGTCAGCTTGGAGATACTCCAAGTTCTCTATGCCAAGGAAAGTGTCAGCTCGGAGAATCTTTAATTCATTGTTGTTCAAGTGCAACTGCTTTAATGCACTGAGCCCGAGAAAGGCTCCTCCCTCAATGTTCTGCAGCTTATTATTTCCCAGATGCAGAGATACTGCATGTGAAAAGTTTACAAATGTATTTGGATAGAGGATATTTAAGAAATTGTTTTGGAAATTGAGGTGATAAAAATTAGACCAAGGTGGTTTCAGCTGGTTTGGTCTGTAGACTGAAACCTTCTCACAGTTGACATAAAGCACATTCTCTACTGACACGCAGGAGCACACATTGCAAATTTCCACTGATATGTCAGAATCTGTATTTGTTGAAGAAATCAGGGCTGACACAATCAGAAAGAGCCAAAGAAACATCTTCTTGCAATCAGCAAACAAATCTATGCTTCTGAATAAAGAGAAATAATCTAAAAAATAAAAAGAAAACAGTTTTTCAATGATCATTCCTTGAAAAAAAATTGTGCTTAAATCATCTCATTGTGAATACATGGCTACAGTCTCTAGCACAGTACTTTTTAAGGCAGCCAGATTTGTGCTCCACTGAACAATCATAACCACAAAAATGTCACATATTTTATATCTGTAATTTGTACAAAATGTACATGTGTAGAATATACAACAAATGGTAAGAAAGGAGATTTAAAATCATACATCTTAATAAATTAAATTTTTAACTTGAACCACCAAGCTTTGCCCTTAACACTAGCCCCAAGCTTGCTGTTTGCAACTTAAATGAACATACTTAGAGCATCATTTATTTCATGTCCTCTACACCAAAAACACACCAGAATTGGTGGAAATCTCTTCTCCAGACTTCTGCTAGATACAGAGGCTGGGTAGAGACCATAATTGAACTCAAATTTCAGTGGAGGATGGCAGTGGGAGGACTGGGTTCCTTTAAAGAAGACAGTTAAAAGAGCTACATGGAATGTGCCCTGGAAAGAAATTTGCCTGTGCTTTGGCACTTAGGTAAGCACATTGCCATGAATCACTTCGCTCCTGTAATCTGCTTTCAAAAGCATAGGTGACCCTATGGTGCTCTAGAAAACTGTCAGATTAATAAACAGCACCTACTTTGCTGTCAGTCATTTCACAAATGGGGTTAAAAAGCTTTTTGTCTTTGGGTCCCTGGAAGCAGAAAAGGGACCTGCTTATTCTTGCACTGCTCAGCTGATTTTCAGGCAGTATTTCCACCCACCAGAAATGGCTTTTCTGCCTGTCTGTCCCTCTCCTGTTCTTCATTTGTCAGTTTGAACCCAATCCCCACTGACCCCTTGGTTTAAATGCATATCACCTTCACTTTGGCCACAGCCTGTCAGTGCTGAGGAAGAGGAGTCCACATGCCTCAGTCGTTGAGCAGTTTTATCTGCAGAAGCAGTTATATTTAATTCTAAATATTTCAGTTTTACATAAAGCCTTCAGTTCCCAAACACCCTCCCTAAAAGATAATGCCATGCCCCTGCCTGTAAACAAATGAAGAATTACTTCTTGGAAGAGTTTAATGGCTCACAAATTAACCCTTTGAAGCCAAACCCTTAAAAACCAGCATGTGTCTGTGTCTGTGTCTCTGTGTGCGCGCACACACACACGAAAGAGGGAGAGAGGGAGAAAGAGAGGGACAGAGAGAGCGAGCGAGAAAGACACAGAGACACAGAGAGACAGAGTCAGAGAGAGAGAGACAGAGAGTTTGGAACACAAAAAGTATGCATTTTCCTGATACAATTTTAGGCTTGTGAATCTGTCCAGTAGTGAATGTGAGGAAGCTGGCTGCAATTTTCATATGGTTACCACCACCAAATATTAATTAAATAAATAAAATACTCAGGAAAACAGTGAGAAAATGGTGCAAAGAAAAATATGTGTCATACAGAAACTCTTTTCCTTTCTTTTTTCCTCACAAGGAATCAGCTAGTGGTAAAACCAAATGTGTCTCAAGGTAGACAATCCATTAACCAAGACCTAGGAAGATTTACATTTAAAGTATCTTAGTTCAGAATACAGCCAGCAAACCCTGAAATGCTATCTGGCTGCCATATAGGTGGACATTTCCTCTATTCACTGTTATGGCTTGAGTGTCGATGCAAAAATAAGTCTTGATTTTTAAGCATGACATCACTCCAAACAACTTCAATTGTAAAATCAAAATTTTACTTGGTCTTTTTCGCCTTGTGTTTATGTAGCCTTCAACAGCTATTTTGGTTCAGTTGAGTCATTTCTTGTTCCTAACCACCCCCACCCAAAAACAAAGAAACCAAAATGCAACCAAACTAAAAACAAACAAAACACAAAAAGCAAAACAAAACAAAAGAAAATTCGAATAACCAGATTTCAGAAACAAGAAGTAGAAGCATAACAGATGTGAAAATACATAAAGAGCTGCCCTCTTATTAGTAATTTCTACTTTAAGTAGCAAAGAGGGTGGGGGAGGCGCATGGGAGAGCTAGGAAGTTCCCAAATGCAGTTCCAGTGAAACAGAGGAAGCCAAAAGCAGCTGGAGCAAACAAGCAAGGCAGAGGAAGAGTCAGCCCACCAAGGAGAGGCAAACAAGCTGAAAGGGCAACAGGAATTGAGAGCTGGAGAACTGTGAAAAATGAGGTTAGAAAAAAAGGAGCCAGGAAGAGTAACTGTAAGGAAAAAAGATACCACTAACATATTCTAAAAATTGTGAAAAACAGCAAAAATACAAGCCGAGAAAGAAAACCTTACAAAGTATGGGTTGGGTACCCTAAACTACCTCTCAGGCTTCCAAGAGGGTCGATTTTGCCTTTCTGTGTTTCCATCTCTTGGTGGTGCCTAACAAGACGTTCAGTTCCAAAGGCTGTCCAGGACTGCACAAACCTTGCCCTACCATAAATCCAGCATCCACCAGAGTGCCGCTCCTAGCGCTCCATGCCCAAACGGAGAAAGCTAGCCTGCGGAGTGCAAACCTCTGCCAAAGGGGTCCACAAGTCGATGAGGCATCACAGTAGAAGATATGGGAAACCTTAGCTGCCCCCTCCCTGACGACCGAGGTGGGGGTGGGGTGGGGGAGAACAGAGAGACTGGCCATTATCGTGCCCTGAGCGCTGCTACCTCTAGCTGGAGGCGACGCGGTTGGAGGGGCCGCTGGCGCGTACCGCAATGTTTTGCCGCATCCCGGTGCCCAGAGCCGGCACGCAAGCCCCCTCCTGGATACCCGGCCAGAGCAGCAGCCTCGCCGGCTGGGCGCCGGGGGCGGGGGCGGGGTACTGTGCACGATGTCGCGGGGGCCTTCAGTCCCGCTGCGCACACAATTCTCAGCGCGCTCCCGTCCCAAAAGGGATAGCTGCTGGAGTTTTCTTTGGCCTCTCTAGATCCGAACGTGCAGTGGATGAGCAAGAGGAAGAGATGACTAGTTCAGGCCGGGGTATAACACCAGGGCATCAAAGACCCATTTGCCACAGTCAGAGTGAACCTCATAGTTCTGTTGCCTCGATCTGTGGCCCGGTCATTGCCCCCACCCCCACCTGCCCAGGCCAGCTATAGGATCTTGTTCACCCAGGCAGAAATCAGCTCAACATTTAGGAACCTTGAAAAGTGTCGCTGCTAACGTTCGCCCGGCTTTGCTGGGCTCTCAGAGTTACCCACAGGCTCTTCCACCCATATTGCCTGTCTTGCTGAGTGCCAGCAGTCTCTGAGCAGTCTGTCGGCCACCGCCTGAAACCCCACATTCAAGTCCACGCACAGTGCCTGAGAGTAGGGCACAGAGCACAAAGCCCAGATCAGCACAGCAACCCCAGCTCACGGTGCCACAGACCAGGACACTTTATTTCCCTGCTGCCTAGGCTGCCCTAGGGGCAGGGATGTTAAGGACACCCGGATTCTTTCGGTCCTCCAGGACAAGAGATCGCGCCATAGGCAGGCAAGTGGGAGGTGTGTGTGTGTGTGTGTGTGTGTGTGTGTGTGTGTGTGTGTGTGTGTGTGTGTTGCGAGTGGGGGTTAACTAACATGTCCACTTCGTCTACTCAACGGGCCCCAAACCAACACGACTCCAACTAAAAATAATAAGCTACCTGCTTCCCTCCAGGCGCGCGCACATGCACTATGCCAAGCCCAGCCGGAAAGAGGCTGCGCGCCTTCCCTTGCAGCTCACGCAGCCCGGGCTTGAAATTCACCCACCTCTGGAGCCCCAAGACCTGTACAGGATCGATCGCGTTCCGACTCACTCCTCAGTTTCCGCGATGGTCTCTATGTTATCTGAGATCCAGCTTCTTGGCGCTGGATCGCCGGTCAAACCCACCGAACAGCCAGCCTTTAGCAGGCAAGCAAGCGGGCAGCGGCGCGCGCGCGCACCCAGCCAGACACCGCGCGCGCACCCAGAACCTCGCACACGGGCTGCACCTTTACATACACGCACCGAATCCCCGCCCCCGCCCCCGCCCCCTGGCTCACACACAGCCCTCCCTCCGGACACCCAACCGCTTCTATGCCCGCTCATTCATGAGCCCCTTGACCCTCCAGCAGACACCCACACTTGAGTCCTTTTCTACCTACACACTGGAAAGGAAAGACAAAACGCTTTCCTTCTGGCATCCACCTCCTCTTTTACCTAAAACATCCCTTAGGGAGGAGCGACCCTGATGCTTTGGCATTGGAACCCTAGTTCCCTAACGTGGTTGCACTAACCTCCATCACCATACCACATATGCACACTGGAGTCCTTTCTCTTCCTCCAGCACCCTAACAAGGAAAGGAACGCGCGCATGCACGCGCTTGCGAACTCTCTCTCTCTCTCCTCTCTCTCTCTCTCTCTCTCTCTCTCTCTCTCTCT